GCACTCCTGATGGTCCGGCACCATCTGGAACCCAGAAGTGCTTCCGGCAGCCGTAAAATTGGAGCTGCTCTGCCCCAGACTTCCCCGAGTTAGCTGCTGGTCAGTTTCAACAGCGGTTGACTTGGGGACGCCTGGGGCAGAGCAGCTGGGGTGCAGCCGGCTTGGTCCCACAGCACCGAGGGGTACATTCCCCCACTCCATCCCACACCCCTCATAGCCCTCCCTTCTGATAGTCCGGTATATCTGATAATCCGGCACCCCCTGGCTCCTAAAGGTGCCAGATTATCAGAAGTTTACTGTATTATCGTCACATAGTTTCATATGACTTTGCATTGTGCTATTTTGTATTTCATATTACTTGGCATTGTGCCTCTCTATATAACCTTGTATTAGACCCCTATTTGATATGGGAACTTTGTATTAGAACCCTATATAGAAAACTTGTAGAATCTACACTAGTGTAGGAGGGTATTGCGATCGGGGGCAGGAGATTGGGGTGCCAGGTCTCGGAGGGGGTATGAGTGCAAAAGGGGGACAGGTTTTGGGTATAGTAAGTGGGGGGGGGGAGAGGGTTGATGCAGGGGTGCCAGAAGCTGGCTGTGGCCAGGAGACTTGCAGCCAAACTTGCCTACATGCCTGCATAGCTAAAGCTTGAAGAGCTTAAAATGTTTCCCAGCCAGTCTGCTTGCTTGCCTGGCCATGTGCTTTAGTGAATAACTGAACTGAGGACAGGGGGGACATGGTTCTTCTTGGCTGCCTGTTATTCAAACAGGAAGCTCCCATTGCCTGGTTTCTGGCCAAAACCAGCCAATGGGACTGTGCTGGGTGCAGGGCAGCTCCTAAAACTTCTATTTATCTGCTTAATTTTAAGGCCAAATATTTCAAATTTGGAAACCAACTGAGTTGTCAGAGTTTATAGAGTCATAAATAATACCTGACCCTCCAGGCTTTTAATCTTGTGTCTTTCCTCAATAAAAATAATTTACCAGTTTACTCCAGGGGCAGGCAAAATATAGCTCCCGGGTTGATTCCGGCCTACCAAACATTTGCCAAATAGCCGATCACCGGCTCCTTTGGCTCCACATGGTGCTCAGAGCAGGTGGCTGCTGGGGCCAGCATGTATCTCTGCCACACATACATTCTCTAGGTCCTATCAGGCCAGATCCAAATGTTTGCTGGGCTGAATCTAGTCCACAGGTTGTATTTTTCTTGCTGTTGGGTCACTGGCTGGGAGCCGCCTGTGGTAAATGTCTCACAGCCAGAACCTACACCTCACACCCCACTTCTTCTCGCATCTCAATCAGAACCCCCTCCTGCAGCCCAACTCTCAGCATCCCCAACCCAGGTTACAAGCTCCTCCTGAACTCAAAATCTCTCCCTGCCCCTACTCCTGCACACCTGCCCCAGGTCAGAACTGCTCCCGAACCCAAACTCTCTCCCCAAACCCACACTCGCTTCTGCACTTCAGTGCCCTAACCAGATCTCCCTCCTATACCCACACCCCATCCATTAATATCATAGAAAAATGCAGCCCTTGACCATCCATTTACCAAATTCATGGACTGGCTCTCCCATCAAAAATTATTACAAATATTACCCACCCCTGACGTATACCTTCTGAGGATCTGTCCTAAGCAATTCTGGCTGCAGAGAATATATCTTCATGAGCACTAGCTCACCCAGACAGCATGCAACTTGGTATTACAGAGTTCTGTTAGGTATTGTTTTGGGGCTTCTGCAGCCAACTAACTTTTGTCAGGTTATCTTGGCTTGCTGTGGACTAGGCAACTGCCAGCTACCCAGGACTTGCTCAGGACAAAGTCTGTGTATAGTATTAGATTCCATGTAGGAAGTTTTATAAGTTAGTATTATAGCTCTGTGTGCGTGCGTACATGCGTGCGTGCGCTCAATACAAAAAAAATCATGAGTTATTCAGCAACAGATAAAAGCCAAGACTGAACTTTAAGTCTTAAATACAGTGGTGGTGATTTCTGTCTGCTCTTTTTGTGCACAATAGTACAATTTAAAGTTGATGTGCCAATCTAGACTTTCATCCACAACTCTTAATTTGTTTACATTTGAGGCTTTAAAATACACCCTTAATGACACTTCAGCATAATGTTTGCAGCTGAACAAGTATTTGATAAAACATCTGAACTCTAACCATACAGTATTCTAAAAACAAACCCTCACACAGAGAATTCTTGTGCAGTGAGTAGACAGTGCCCTTTGAAGCTGCATCCAATCTTGTGGTATGGAGTGTGCCTCTCCTCATACTCTGTCCTTCCCATCTTAAAACTTGAGTGTTAAAACTTATCAGGATGCCCTCTAGCCAAAAGTGCAATGATATTCCCTTTATCCTGTAGTTCCAGGCACTTATAATAATTATTAGTGACATTTTATGAGATGTGTACTTTATAGATGACTTATTCAAGATGTTACTTTCCAAGACCTTAATCAAATGTATATATTAAATAGGTGTAAAGACAGTACATATTTAAACTATTAGAATCAAAATATGCTGGTTATTAAAGAAATTGTAAACTTTAAATACATTTCCTAAAAGACTTACTGATTGATTCACTGACTGATTTAGAAATATGTAGTGTTTTCATTGTTTAACTTTAAAGGCAAGTAGGTCAGAACAGCATGAAGTGGCATAAATGTTGTTCTTTGTTTTCTTGCCACTAATCTCAGCAGCCCAAGAATTGACAAGGTTCTAGTAATTTAATGTCAACTAATTTAATTCTAGTTTACCTTTGAGTGTAATACAATTGACAAGCTAATTTGTATTAATAAGGAAAAGTTACTATTCTTATCACTAGAACTTTTCTAAATATCTTGTCTGTGTGTCCTTTTTCTGTAATTTTCCAGAAATTTTTTTTCTGGTTATATTTCTAATTAGTGTATTTGTTGCTATGGAAAATGTATCTAGTTCGTCAGTTAGAATATTTTAAATAAAACGACAGTGGTTCTAGAGGTCAGACAGCTTATACAAAGTGAATTACAGTGTTGCTTCAAAATCATTGAGTAGACCTGCAAATTTCTTCCCCCTTACCACCTGCTAAAGCCTCCTTACCTTAGTAGCACATTAGTTGCCCTGGTGACTTGCTTTATGTTTTTCTAAAACATAGCTATTGTACTTTGGATGAGTTTGCCTGGTTTTTGAGTGGGTGGTAATGTTTCTTTTTGCAAGAAAAATGTGAACAGAGATTAAGGGAGAAAACCTTAAAGGTTTAAAATGTCAGCCTGTAAGTTACTCACATCAGTTTTTCTCTGCAGTATTCCTATTTTCTGTGCTCGTAGAAGACAAACATCCTAGAAATAAAAATAAATATTTTCCTGTATTTTGTTTTGCAACCTTCAGTTGTATATCATCTGAATATATTAGGTGTTTTATTGCATTCTGTACTTTAATATTACAGCAGTGACCAATAATGCCACTTTACAGTAAGTAAGGTCTTTAAGGGGTGTGGTAACAGAATATTTAACCTTTTGATCACTATTCAGCTCCCACCCAGGTTAGTGCTATCATGAGAGAGCTTTTAAGTGAGTTTGGAAATTGGTACTCTTTGTACAGCTTGCAGTGAGCAGGTAGTCACACCACAAAAACAAGAATCAAAACAGAACCAGCAGAGATTCCAAGGACTGAATGGATTAATAGGAAGTATTTCCTCTCAGCCCTTAATCAGAGTTGGGAGACACTGGCTCTACTGCTACTTCTATAAACTGTTCTATAGCTAAAGAAAAGACTTCAGTTTCTTAGGCTCATTATAGCCTGAGACTTATTTTTGCTAATAAATGTTTAACTGTGTGGATTTTTAAGATAATCACACAAATAGGGAATGGTCTCAAGAACTTCTTGTTTAAAGTGGCTCATGAATACTAGTCATGGTTTGGGTGTTAAATATTTAAAATGGGAACTAATGGTGGCATCTCAGGCAGTCATGTGCATTTGTCAAAGCTCCACTCTGGAGTGAGGATGCTATGCAAGAGGAAGGGATGGAGCTGGGAATAGAGAGAGGGAGCACCCCACATTATTCAACATCTCATCTATACTTGAATGAAGAATTTGATTGGTAAGTTGGGAAAAGGAACTTGAAAATATAAACAATTGACAAAACCAACAACAATTATGCAGAGCACCAGAGCAGCTAGCTCTGTGATGATTATGGTGTTGTTAAGATTCATTACTCTGTCTTCCTTCCCTCCCCCCTACAGGTGCCTGAAGGAAAGGTGGTAGTTCTGTCTTTTAGATACATCGACTTGGAAAGTGATAACTTGTGCAGATATGACTTTGTGGATGTTTACAATGGTCATGCCAATGGACAACGCCTCGGCAGGTTCTGTGGTACTTTCAAACCAGGTGCCCTTGTTGCCAATGGCAATAAGATGTTGGTACAAATGATTTCAGATGCAAATACAGCTGGAAATGGATTCATTGCTATGTTTTCTGCAGCAGAACCACATGAACGAGGTATTTTACAACTATGCAAATGTTAAAGGCAAACATTCAGAGGCTCATCAGGGGCCCTAAACAGGAATATTTCTGGGGCCACACATTACCCTTTATCCACCACCTAAAATATTAATTTCATTATTTCTACAAACCAAAAAATAGACCTGGTGCTACCATTGTGAACGTTAACTTCTCTTTTATAGAATGTACTTTAAAGACTGAGGCCAAAGGTACTTTTACAGTTAAAGTAAGTTTTGAAAATGCTAACATCTAGAACCCTGCATCCTTGGTATTGAAAGGATACAATAATCAATAAGCTGCATGGCTGTGCTGTACCCAAGCAAATTGTATTTATACACATTTTATTATTTTTAGGGCTGGAAGAAGTAGAAATAAGGCCTGAGACTGGCACTTAAAAAAAAGTCTTCAATTTTTAAGTTAGGTTTTTTCCTTTTCATTCTCAGTCATGGAATCCCTTAGGCACAGATGCTAATTCCTAAGCTTTTCTCTCACCCTCAATTTTGCCAACGGGGAAATGAATTTTAATTTTGTACAAGGGAGAATCTTTTGATCAGCAAAGTTAATTTTAAAACACTGATACGTTTCTTACCGAAAAATTATAGAATATGATAAAGTCTCTACAACGTAAAAAGACCGGTCACTTATTAAAAACTGTTTGTATCTTCACTATCATCAGATTCTCCACAAGGGTATGGAGGGCCCTAAATGCAATAGAACTAACAGGACAGTGTTACACAAGATAGCATGATTGCAGAGTGAGTATACAGTGGGTATTGCTGGGTTTGGAGAAAAGTGTCAAGTGACAGTATCTTCAGCCACACTTACCACTACCAAATTGCCCTCTTCTGGAAAGAGCATAGGAACCAGGGACACCATTATAAGCCTTGGCCTAAGGCTCCTGAAATAAGCTTTTTATTGCTCGATCCATTGTTGGAATCTGTTGCAGGACTCACAGAGGAAGCTTCAGGCTGGGAGTATTTTCTGTGGGGCCCCAGCTGAGAACCCTCCACAAAAGCTTGTTTATTTGGGCTACACACAGGAGTTGGAGATTTGGCTGTAATGGAAAAGCATGTGGAACTCTGCTTTTAGTCTGTATTGTTTTGTATTTCTAGGGGATCAGTACTGTGGTGGACGACTAGACAAGCCTTCTGGGTCCTTTAAAACTCCCAATTGGCCAGATCGAGATTACCCAGCAGGCGTCACTTGCTCATGGCATATTGTAGCCCCAAGGAATCAGGTGAGCTTTGGTATCTATTTTAACAGTTCCCCCCCAAATTAAAATGTAGGCTAGCAATTTTATACTCACTAGCTCCACACTTCATAATTTCAAAGGAACATATAAAATTTTTAAAACAAATTTAAGTTTACAATTACAGAAGTTGAGGATGTGTGGGGTGCACATTATCTATTCATATATACTTTCTCTTCATGAGTGTGTCTAGACTACAGGGTTTTGTCGACAAAAGTCCACTTTTGTCGACAAAACTATACCTGCGTCTACACTGCCGCTGAGTTCTGTCAACATAACGTCAACAGAACTCAGCAGTTTTGTTGACGGCTGTAAACCTCATTCTACGAGGAATAACGCCTTTTGTCGACAGAGTTCTGTTGACAGAAGGTGTTATTGCATCTACACTGTCCTTTGCATCTACACTGTCATGTTGACAAAGTGGCTTGCTTTGTCAACAGAACTGGCTGTAGTCTAGATGCTCTTTGTCGACAGAAGCTTTGTCGACAGCATCTGTCGACAAAACTTCTGTCGACAAAAGTCTGTAATCTAGATGTTCCCCATATGTTATATAGTTTTATTGTATGTTTCATGTTTCTGTGCTTCTCTGTATTTTTCTGACATTTTTTCCAATGATTTCTGTGTCTCAATTGAATATTACCTATAACTGGGTACGTAGCTTCCCATGTACTCTAATTCCTACATGCTGCTATATGGCCAGCCGGGGTTTTTCAGAAGATTTAGTGTTTATTTTGTTAATTAACGTAAATCCAATGGTAAATTGGATCACGTGCACTCTTCTTATTCTGATCTGTCTTAGAATAAACAATATGAACAGCAGGTTGAAGTTTAATAAAATGTATATAGTTTGTGATATACTCTCTGTTGGATGCATCCATGTATACTTTAATGCCTATTGAAAACTGAAATTCATTATTTCAATAATAACTCTGACTGTCTTCATAAGATATACTTGGGGATTTGTCTTACTGAACAGCTTCCACTATAAAACACTTATTTGTTTCTAGTTTCTTATCTTGAGGTCTCCCTCAGCTTGATCAGGTTAATCAACTGCCTTCATGCTAGGTTTACTGACATTTTATAAGGCCCTAAGCTACGTCTGCCTTGTTTCAGATGCATTTATTTGTGTCTTGTCACCCAGTGTTATTCACAGAATACATCCTTCCTTGATGCATTGGGCTGGTCTCAATCTTTGTTTCATCTTCTTTGTTGTTGCCCAGGTTTCTGCTCCATAAACTGTATCATGGCAGGAAGTACACAGTGATTGAGGCATGTTTGGTAGGTTACTTTTCATAACTACATCAGCTTCACAAAATTCTTTTACATGCCACCCAGACTTTCCTTTTAATCTCTGGCCAAATGAAATGGCCGTACAGTGATAAATGTGTTCTTTGAATCTTTAGTTCTTCCATTTACCAGGATATTTTTTTCTTGAACTAGTGGGTATATGTCATGTTAGTCTCTTCTGTAGTCCTCTATAAGCCACATTCCTTGCTTGCCATGTGCAGGTCATTTAGCATTTCATGGTTAAGCAGTGATTTTTAATAATATTTTAAAATTGCAGATTACTTGGATTCTTCCCATTTATCTCCAAATGATCTTGAAAACTTTCCACAAGCTTGTAGTGAAGACTTAGGATAGGATTTTCCTTTTGTTTTCTTATTCTTGATATATAGTCCCCATACATGTTTTTAGTATCCAAATGGATGCTATTCCTAGAATGCTTATCTCAGTGGTACATAGTTTTCAATGAGTCAAGGGATTTTCCTTGCCCACAAAAACCATGTATTTCAGTTCCTTCTGGCTAGTTAACATGAGGATATTCTACACTAAAAATGAGCCATTCGAAGATTCTCCATTCCAGCGGGTATATTTCTATATAGAGTTTCTACCTTTTCATGAGACAAGGACTGAATCAAACCACACCCATTTCCCTTCCTGACCAGCATATGGCCATTAAGGCAAGCTATGCTCTAAATTAGACACGTAATTGTTTTGGGGAGTTCAGTAAATAAGTTCTCCTCCATGGTGGCCTCTTCTCTCCCTCCATTTCAGCATTAGACTGGACAGCAAGATGCCCAGATACAGCAAGAAGAAGACTAGACATTCTATTGCTGTCCTGCTTACACAAATTCTGTTTTTATTCCCTCATCGTTAGTTCTCTCTCCTGTTTTGTGTCCTTTTTTTTCTCTCTTCAGTTTGCTCTACTCAGTATTCTCTACCTTGTCAGCTATCCCCCTTTCTTACCCCAATTACTCTCTTCACCTTACTCTTTCCACGTCTCTATTTTGTTTCATCTAGTACCTTCCTCTCTCCCTACCTTCCAAGCCAGTTTATTGCTCTTCCCTCACTTTCCCTTTCTAACTGCATTTGCCCTACTCCCAGCTGCAGCCAGTTGAGATTCTGAACCAGAAGATTATGGAAAAGAAGCAGATAGTTGAGCAGCACTGGTGAGAGCCTAGTGGAAAGGAAAAAAAAAAGGAAAACCTTAAATAATCAAGACAGTTTCATACCTATTATCTCCTTCGTCAAAAGGAGCAGGTTGTAGACTTAATTACAGCAGTAGAGAACCACCAGCAGATAAATATTTGACAGTAATCCCAGTGTTTTAGATCTCTGCTTCACTGCTATTTAAAAATAGCACGTTTATTAAAGGATGAGTCATTGGAATCAACTCTACAGTTATATAGCTTTATGCATTGCTGAAAGGTGCTGGATGGGTCCAGTATAAGAACTAAAGTAGAGAGCATAACTTGATAGTGGACTCCACAGATCTGTCTTATCACTGGAATCAAAATCTGTTCACAAAAATCCCTTACAAATAAAATACATTCCTTCTCTAGCGCTTGGCTTTTTTATAGTAGTCCTGCCAATCAAATCAGGATCTGAGGGTATGTCTACACTACAAAGCTAACAGCTGTTAGTTCGAATTAACTTTCATAGCAGCTACACATGCAGACCGCTAGTTCGAACTTAATTCGAACTAGCGGAGCGCTTAATTCGAACTAGGTAAACCTCATTCTACGAGGACTAACGTATAGTTCGAATTAAGTAGTTCGAATTAAGGGCTGTGTAGCCACTTAATTTGAACTAGTGGGAGGCTAGCTCTTCCCAGCTTGCCCTGGTGGCCACTCTGGGACAAACCAGGAAAACTCTTCTGCCCCCCTCCGGCCCGGAGCCCTTAAAGGGGCACGGTCTGGCTACAGTGTTCGTGCCAGTTGCAAGCCTGCCAGCACCCAGCCAGCAGACCCTGCACCTGGCACGGCATGAGCCAGCCACCCACTGCCACCCAGCCCTGCAAAAGGCTGGCACCCACCTGGTCTAGTGCGGAGATTGTGGACCTCATCGAGGTTTGGGGAGAAGCCTCCAATGTCCATGATCTCCGCACTAGCCACAGGAACATGGCCGTCTACAGCCGCATGGCTGACAGCCTGGCCGCCAGAGAACACATGCGGACCCGGGAGTAGGTCCGCTGCAAAGTCAAGGACCTGCGGCAGTCCTACTCCAGGGCCTCCCAGCCAGGGGCCGACCTGGAGGCCTGACCCCACTTTGACGCTCTGGGCCACATCCTGGGGGCTCACGCTGTCCATGCCCCCCGGGTGGTGATCAACCCCAGGGCAGAGGGACCCATCCCTGACACCGAGGAGGAGGGGCATGTGAGTGCCATTTTGCTCCACTTATGTATATGGAGGGGGAGAGGGAGCCCAGGAACAGTGCGCCTGGGCCAGTGCTAATGAAGCTAACTGAATGAGCTGGAAGTATCCCATAATTACCTTTTGAGGTCAACTGGGTGTTGAATGTTAGAAAAGCATCCATTTGGCCCATCCAGATCAGGTTCAGGTCTTTGTTCCAGCCATGAGAAATAATGTCAAATTTTCATTTAAAGGCCAACTCTGCAATCACTCTCTGTAGTTGGTTTTTGAAATTGCTTTGTAGACAAATGGCTATTTTTAAATCCATTAATGAGTACCCAGGTAGGTTAAAATGTTTTCCTACAAGTTTTTGCGTATTACCATTTCTGATATCTGACTTGTGTCCATTTATCCTTTGTTATAGAGCAGGGGTGGGAAACCTAAGACCCAGGGGCTGGCTACGGCCCCCAGCTTGCCTGAATCCAGCCCCAGAGGCTCGGGGCTCGCCATCTCCCCCAATTGTTCCTCAGTGGGTTTGGAGCACACAAAATCTACTAACCTGGACCTCCTTATGCTCTGTTGTGCAATGAGAATGTGGGGAGTGTCTTTCTCCTTCTCAGTCAAGAGCCATATCAGTGAGGGTTTGTTTTTTGGGGGTTATTTTGCTCTCACTTATGTGCGGACCCATTTTTCTGTGGCTCAGTGGCTCCCAACCCCAAAAAGATTCCCATCGCTGTCAGAGACTATCCAGTTTGGCCAATATACATGGACAGAAGGACACTACTGGCACTTGATGGCAAGTATCACATTAGAGGATGTGCTGCTGTATGAACCGCTGATGTTGCAGCTTATGTGGTTAGATCCTGTGATGGTGTCGCTTATATAGAAGTGTGGACAGAGTTGGCAACAGAGTTTATTGCAGGATTAGGTTCCTGGGTGAGTAAGTCTGAGGTGTGATCTGTGGCTGCTGGAAAAAATTTGCTTCAGGTTAGGGGGCTGTCTGTAGGCGAGGAGTGGCCTATCTCCCAAGGCCTGTGAGAATGAGGGATCATTTTCCAGGATAGGTTGCCTTCCGCTGGGCCTCCCGGATGGCGGCTGTGCGGGGCTGAGCGTAGTGGCCAGCCATGTGCTCAGCCTCAGTCATCCAGGCTGGCAGGAAAGCCTCTCCCTTCCGCTTGCACAAATTATGCAGCACGCAACATGCTTTGCAGAAGTCCTTGAATTATTTTTTTCCTAACCTGGCTAAGTAAAAGAATCAAGAAAGCCATATCCAGAAAATGGCTTGCTGTTACATATCGAGGCAAGAAAGACTTTAGATTTATGGGAATTTGACTCCCTGGCTAAATGATCGTCCGAAGGCCCCCTCGACCACAATGCGAGCCCTGGCGAGCCTGGCATTGAAGGCCTGGCGGGAGGGGTTGAGGTGCCCCGTGTACGGCTTCATGAGCCAGGGCTGTAGGGGGTAGGCGTCGGGGAAGAAGGTCCCGGCCTGCAGCCTCTGGCACATGGAGGAGTTGTGGAATACCCTGGCGTCATGTGCCTTTCTGGACCAGCCCATATTGATGTCCATGAACTGGCCCCAGTGGTCACACATGGCCTGCAGGAGCACAGAGAAGTAACCCTTGCGGTTAATGTACTGGGAGGCCTGGTGTTCTGGGGCACGGATGGGGACGTGCGTCCTTTCGATGGCCCCCCCACAGTTGGGGAAGCCGAGGGTGCTGAACTCCCGGATGACGGCATCCGGGTTGGCGAGGCGGACCACCCTGCGGAGGAGCACCCGGTTGATGGCCTTGACCACCTCCAGAGAGACACACAGCAAACCGCGAATCACTGGGGTGCCCGGGTGGCTGGGAGTGTTCGATCCCTGGCATTGCCCCACGCCCCACTCCCAGAAGCAACCCCTGCTGTGATCCTGGCCATCGCGGATGGCGTGTAGTAAGGCCGGGACAAAACGAACCCTCCTATGTGGGGCACTGTCTCTTCCTCCCCCACCCCCGTTTTCCCTGGGGCTGCTCATCCCCTCCTTGCAGCCCCCGGCCCAGTGGCCGGTGAGTACCGTACCTACATGAGCACTGCTCCAATGGTGGATTTCCCCACGCTGAACTGGTTCGCGATAGATCGGTAGCTATCCAGTGTGGAGAGCTTCCAGAGGGCGATGGCCACATGCTTCTGGAGGGGGATGGCGGGCCTCATGCGAGTGTCCCGTTGCTGCAGAGCAGGGGTGAGCCACTCACAGAGCTCCAGGAAGGTGTCCTTCTTCATCCTGAAGTTCTGGGTCCACTGTCTGTCTTCCCAGTGCTCCAGGACGATGCGGGCTGCTGGTGTCCAAACACCAGATGCGGTGGGGCACGCTGGCATCCGGGCGGTGGGCGCGGGGGGGAGGGGGGGGGGCGGCAGGGGCGCCCCCCAGCCATTGCTGGCAGGCTTGCAGCAGCAAGTCCAAGAACTGCACCAGAATGCCCAGGGCGAGCTCTGGCTCCATGTTACCAACTGCAGCGGTGTCCCCAATGGGAACCACTGACACAGGGCAGGCGCAGAGGAAAACGCTTTGCTGTTCCTCGGCAAGGTAGGCAAGCAAGCGAAAAAGCTGAGAACCGGCTGTCCAGGGGGGTCCCTTTAAGCACAAGCCTCAGATAGCCTCAGACAGCAGCCACACAAAGCAACTACTGACCTGATGCCCTGCTGGAACCAGTTTCAGCTGCCCTTAAATGTGACCCAGCATCCAATCAGTGTGAACGCGCTAGTTCAAATTAGCAAAACGCTAATTTGAACTATTTTTTAAGTCTAGATGCGCTAATTCAAATTAACTAATTCGAACTAAGTTAGTTCGAATTAGCGCTGTAGTGTAGACATACCCTGAATGAGGAACTCTATTTCTAGCACCCACGAATACCCCCAAACCCTTACTGATAGCGGTTCTTAGGGCAAATCATATACTGAAGACAGCTAATTGCTTGAAGAAGCAGACAAGTGATTAAACAATTTTCACCAATTGACAACAAAGTGAACAATGCACACTGATGTTAGTTTTATTATGCTCTTTGTTATCTAATTGTAAAAAAAAAATAATCTTAAGTAGGAACTTCTGTTTTTCCCTGCAGGTCATAGAGTTGAAATTTGAGAAGTTTGATGTGGAGAGAGATAACTACTGCAGATATGATTTTGTGGCCGTGTTTAATGGTGGGGAAATCAATGATGCTAAAAGAATTGGGAAATACTGTGGAGACAGTCCACCTGCGTGAGTAATTTCTTTGGGTTATTAATATAGCTATAATTGGATTTTTTTTGGTCATTAATTTGTCACTACATTTTTCTTGAGCTTATTTTGGAAAAATTTCATTTTCTACATCAAGTACATACTGTGGGCTTTTTCCTGTTAATATATTGCAGCTATTGTACTGAGTAAGGCTTGACTTTTAAATGCCTGTGTATATGCAGAGATAACTGCTTACAAAGATTTTCTCTTTCTTTCATAAGGGCTGTCCTAAATGTGGAACATGCTCCATAGCATTTAGTTTATGCATAACTCACTGAAATACGGTTGTTCAATGACAATTTATTTTATTTCTAATGATTATGCTTTTCACCATTAGACACCGTATGTTAAATCTTGCCTTACTTCATCTGGTCACACACGTTTCAGTTTCCCATTTCTATTCAATTGGTAATTTTAGTGCTTTGGGTGACTTACCAAAATGGATGTCCTCACATTCTGGTCCCAATACAAGGGCAGAATATTTCCTAGGTTGTTCCTGGGCTACAGCCTTCACCGGTACTGATGCAGGGCTTTGCTATTTGACCTTTGCCCTTCCCCAAGATAAACAGTTCCTTTTTATTTACCCCCTTGGCGCCAGGCTGACTGGTCCTTCACTCCTGGACCAAAGGGGTTTCCACACCAGCCACCAGTAGAGCTGTTGAAGAGCTCTGTCTATAAGCCCTATGCAATGAAGGGCTTATTTACGCTCTATGCAAAGATCACCCACTTCACTGTTTAAGAGTAATTTAATCCATTGCCCTCTTTTAAAAAAAAGTCCTTTCTCCTGGCATCTTTCTAGGTTATATTAGCACAGCTTTTCTGGACTCCTCCAAAATCTTTCTAGTTTGCCCTCTTCGTTGAGCTTTTTCAGTTCCACCTAAGCTGCTGCTCAGAGAAATATCAAGTGAATGCGGTCATTAACTCCCTCATAGTTTTGCCTTATCCCTGATCTCTCCCTGCAGCTTCTCTTTATATTCTCTGGAACATTTTTCGCAGTTGCCTTGCAACAATCTACACAATTCCCAGAGTCTTAAAGGATCTTTCTGGAATTCTTGGTGCAGGCACATACAGTCCTGTCCTTTAAAGGCCAGTATGTCCTGTAACAGTATTCTATTAGAAAACATTCTTTATTAAGGTAGTTCTTAGTAATATTTAGTTTTTCTTCTATTCTGTGTACTGAAGCTACAGGTTCTGTAGCATTCTACATCAGTGCTCTTTCCACAGTAATGCACAACACAAAAAGCCCATTCTAAAAATAGCACTACATGGGTAAGTCTAGACTGCAAGCTTCTTTCGAAAGAAGCTTTTCTGAAAGAGCTCTTTTGAAAAAGCTTCTTTCAGAAGAGAGCATCCACACCTCAAAACTGGTTCGAAAAAACAATCTGCTTTTTTGAAAGTGAACATCCAGACTGCATGGACGCTCTCTCAAAAGAAAGACCTGATTGCTATTCACAGCACTGCTACCGGGGCACCTGTGCTTTTTTCGATAACCTCTTCTTTCGAAAAATGTCCCTGTTCTGCGTCCACACATGCCTTTTTTTGAAAGAGCTGTTTCGAAAAAGGCGTTCATCCTTGTAATTTGAGGTTTACCAATGTAAAAAAAAAAACCCTGAAGCAAAATGCAGGACAATGTAGCACTTTAAAGACTAACAAGATGGTTTATTAGATGATGAGCTTTCGTGGGCCAGACCCACTTCCTCAGATCAAATAGTGGAAGAAATAGTGATCTGAGGAAGTGGGTCTGGCCCACGAAAGCTCATCATCTAATAAACCATCTTGTTAGTCTTTAAAGTGCTACATTGTCCTGCATTTTGCTTCAGCTACCCCAGACTAAGACGGCTACATTTCTATCACTAAAAAAAACCCTGTGCTCTTTCGATTAATTTCGAAAGAACACAATTGCAGTGTGGACGCAGGTGAAGTTTTTTCTGAAAAAGGGCAGTTTTTTCTAAAAAAACAATCTAGTCTAGTGGGGTGTTTAACATACTCTTCTGTCAGAGCCTATGCTTTTTCCTCTTGCTGCATTAGGCCTTGTGTCCATGCAAGTGCTACATAATCTGGCACTATCTTCAGTTGTCCTGATGTCCTGTGTAACAGCTGTGCATATTAACATCAGAGGGCTCAGAGATCAATGACACAATCCCATGGCCTTGGATGAACCTGGAAAACATGAGGCAATGAAATACAAAGAATGTGCTTCTGCTCCAATTAATTTACTTATTGACTTCAAATACTTTTAGATGAACTAACAAATGAGTTTACTGAGTTTATTTAATCAGTAAACTACCAGAACTTTTCCACTTTGCTAGTCAAATGAATGATAGAACTTTGGGACAATTTGATCTATTTTTGAAGCACAACAGTAATTGTTAATGATTTTTTTTCTCACTGAATATGCAGGTTACAGATAGGCATTCATTAGTTGGTAGACAGAGCAAGGAAGTGGTGTTTATATGGATCTTTAGTTTTGCTATTTTTACATTTAAACATTCATATATTGTGAAAATGTGATGCATGCTTCATTTTCTTCTGTTCTGTAACATTAACATGCCTACATATCTCAATACTTACAGTAAGTCTCATATGTAGTTATATTACTGAGAGGACTAAAATCCAGAAAGACTGAAAAGTCTTTACTGCATAACTGTCACGGCTCTGAGAAAAGTCTTTTAAAAATACAGCTCTAATGAGGAGCTTCTGGAGTTAAGGGCACTCAGCCTGAAAAACGCCAACCAATGGCACTGTAATTATACAATCAGGTCTGGAGCTGACAGTAGCAAGTCTTAATTATTCTAGCAAATGCATAAAGTTCCTGAGTGAGGTTATTAATTTAACTTAACTCTTCAGCTATAATGTGGACTCTTGATGTCGAACTATTTGAAAAGATATTATGTTGTTTGTGTTTCTTAAAACAAAATGCTATAAAAATCACAAAAGTCTGTATTTGAAGGGAGTGTTTACGCCTGAGACCAGTCACTACAAGTTGAACTTCTCTGGTCCAGAGAGCCCCTGCAGCTGGGAACAAAGCCTGGCCTGACAGCCGGGGGGCCGGGATTGGAGCCAGTCCGGTGGGCAGGGAACTCAGGTCTGGTGGCTGGGACTGGCACTGGGGTCAGTGGCCATGAGGGAAGCCAATCCAGGAGGCTGGCGGACCCTGTGGAGAGCCTGGAGGCCAGCAGCAGAGGGGCTGAAATTGACCATCCCTGGTCCAGCAAATCCCCTCCTTTGGGACCAGTCAGGTCCTGAGAGTGCTGGGACAGGGAAATCCAACCTATAGTTGAATGGCCAACAGGAAATGTTTCTTTACACAATGGCTCTTTCAAATGACAAGTGTGGTAGACTGAGACAAATTATCCTTTAGATTATTTACACTGTACCTTCATGAGAATAGTATGTGATTTGTTTGTGAATGGTCTTTCAGTAGAGCTCAGTTAGGTCATTTTCAAAAGTAATGAATGGTAATAACTTTCTAAATAAAAAGTTTAGTTTTTAATAATTCCAGAAAACAGAACAGTTGGATGTTCTTCCTCCCACGTATGATGTTTTGGAGTTAGAATAATAAAGATAAATTTAACAAAATCATGTTTCCTTAGAAGTAAGGGTTTGTCGATCCCAGGGATCAGTGAAAAGGAGGTCTCTTATCGTTTTCTCCATTTTTCACTTTCTGAGGCAGCAGTCACAAAAAATGAGTGACCTGTGTGTCTCTCAGATTCCAGAGTTAATATGTTTTCATTCAGTTACTGTAGTTACAATTCCATAGTTGCTTGGCAGCACCAGAAATCAAAGGTGAAATCCTGGCCCTGTTGAAATGGTGAGAGGTTTCAGTGGGGCTCAGATTTCATCCTGCATATTTGGTTAAATTAATTTTTCCCCAGCTACTATGCTTCACTTCAGGTCTAGAGTTTTGGGCTTTTATTTATAACTTTCTGAGAATAAAGACTTTTTTTTTCAGCTGTGTGGTCAAAGGTCATTGTAGCATAGCTAAATACTGTACTATACTATAAATACTGTACTGTACTATAAAGTACCTGGTGTTGATAATAGGGATGTTAACTAGCGTGTAATTGTGTAAACATGTAACTGCTGGAAATTTTAGTAGTTACATGTTTACACGTGGGGAGATGGGAGCTGGTGCTCATGGGGAGCTGGCTTCAGAGGCAGCATTGCAGGGGGAGAGTGGGCAGGTGCCTTTTAATCTGCCTCCTGCCGAGCACCTGCTCTCTCCTGCCCACCTTGCACAGAACAAAGCAGATTGTGAAGAACTTCAAAGTATCTCACAAAACTAGGTGAGTGAGCAACAAAATGGCAAATTAATTTTAATGTTGATAAATGCAAAGTAATGCACATTGGAAAAAATAATCCCAACTATACATACAAAACTATGGGGACTAATTTAGCTATAACTACTCAAGAGATCTTGGAGTCATTGTGGATAGTTCTCTCAAAAACATCCACTCAACATAAAGTGGCGGTCAAAAAGCAAACAGAATGTTAGGAATAATTTAAAAAGGCATAGAGAATGAGGGTATGTCTACATTGCATTCCTCTTTCGAGAGAGGAATGCAAATGCAGCTGAGTGAAATTGCAAATGAAGCGTGGATTTGAATTTCCCGTGCTTTATTTGTATAAACTGGGCGCTATTTTGAAATACCCAATTTCGAAAAAAGAAACGCTGTCTAGATGCAGTTATTTCGAAAGACCACCCTTCTTTGGGTAAAATGAGGTTTAAAGGTCAGTTCAAAAGAAGAGTTTTCTTTCAAAATAATCGCATCTAGACAGTGTTTCTTTTTTCGAAATAGGATATTTTGAAATAGCGCCTGGATGCAATTATGCAAATGAAGCACGGGAAATTCAAATCCACGCTTCATTTGCAATTTCATTCCTCTGCATTTGCATTCCTCTCTCAAAAGAGGAATGCAATGTAGACATACCCTAAGACTGAGAACATCTTGCTGTCTCTGTATAAATCCATGGTATGCCCA